CCAGATGATGATACAGCCACAGGGGCAGTGGCAGTGGCAGTGGCAGTCATCCCCTGCCCTGCCCTGTGAAAATCATTCATGATTCAACGATTGAATTGAGGAACAAATTGCATGCACAAATGGCAGCCGAAAGGTTTATTCGTTTAACAAGAGAGACCGCCGACCGAGACCTTAAACTTATACCCGACGATTGTGGCTGGCATATCTGGCATACCTCACACACAGTACTTATCATAATAAACTTTGTTTGTTGTTGTTTATTGCCATATTTGTCAGATGCTTGTGTGGGATATGCCACATGCCACGTGTATATCTTATATCTGATATCAAGTGTTTTATGATTAAGTCATCCAAGCCAATCTGTCTGACTTACCCCCATTTCCATCTTTGCTGGGTTGTCACGATTACGCGGCTGAATGGATCCCCACCAGCAACAGTCTACAAATATTTTGCAAATATATATTCTTTTTTTTTTTTGCAAAGGTTTTCCAGGATTTGCAGGGTTTCTCTGTTCACATTTGGGGACTACTTTTTTTTGGCTTCAGCAATTTAAATTTGTTCGTTGTCCGTTTGTGGTTGAAGGTGCGAGGGAGAGAGAGTGCGAGAACGGAGGGGGGTTCCGTCCTGTGGTGCACTTAACAGCCGCTGTTGCCTGCCCCCCTCCGTGCCAAAGGGGTTAAAAGGTCTCGAAACGACTCTTCCACTCCAGCAGTGGCCAGTGGCCTCCAGGGTTGTCAAAGTGTGTTTGGTTACTCTTGCTTTCTGTTTGTTCCCATTTCATAAATATTTCAATGGGGGAGGGGGGTGGCACTCATCTTTCTCCGCAAATAACCCCCCCTGATTCTTTCATTTTCATTTTCAGTGCTCGGCAGCAGGAGGAAACCTGTAAACAAGAAACACACTCACACTGAAGACGACTCGCGGCGGCACACACACTTGCATTTTGTTTTCGTTTTTGCTCCCCCAATTTGCGTTTGCCCCCAACGGTTCAATGCGGCTGGGTAAGTCTTGCCAAATACTCTCTAAATACGAAATACCCACCCACCTATCATTGTTATTAATATGTGATTTATTACCGAAAATTTCCGTGTTATATTCGTATTATTTCTACCACTAAGCGACATTCGGCAGAACTATATTTTTAAACAAAACTTGCGCCTGATTTGAATGCGCAGAAGAGTCCTCCCAGGCCTTTCGCTTCGGAATGGGAATGTTTATTTTACATTTTTTTTTACATTTTTACATATTTTTTTGTGGGTTATTGCAGTCATATTCCCCGTAGAAAATACTAATATAAAGCTTAAGATCTCGAGCTATGTATATGTATCTTCACTCACTTCGTATGCTGATTTAACATTTATTTAAATATATAAAAAGAATAAAATAAAAATAAAGTTCGGAAAATAGCGAACAAATTTTTTTTTCTAGTTATTATTTAAATTAATAAGGTTTTAAGGATTCCAAAAGAATGAAATCGAGACGAAATTATATGGCAATATGTTGTATAGATTTTTTGCATACTTTTTTTATGGATTGATCTCCTCCATCTCCTTATAAATACTCGTTGCGGCGCTGCCAACGTGAGCCAATGGCTCCTTGAAATTCCTCTTGTTTTTTTTTTTGGTAGCTCTTTGCAACCAATGAATGTTGATAAAATGTTTCATTTGAGCTGAAGTTCTCTCTCTCTCTCTTTGTTTTGTAGGGTATTTACAAGCGTTGGGCTTCCCACATTTCGCTTTCGTTTCTGCTTTTTTTTTTTTGCCAATCGCAATTCCATGGAAAGCCAGAAGTTTGAAACACTTGCACATGTGCCATTATATATACTTTGTGTGTGTGTTGTTTTTGCACTGCATTTGTCGGGTTTTGTCGAGCTTTGCGAGAGTGTGAAAAAAGAGGTCTGAAGGGACTGAAGGGGCTGAAGGGGCTGGGGGCATTACTCATACGCCCTGTTATGCAGCTGCCGTCTGTTAAACTTTTTTGTTTCTTCTTTTTTTTTTTTTTTTGTTGGACTCTATTTACTCTCTGTGGCTCATAGTAGCTCATTGTTCTTGGCACGCATTTCTTTCGGATTTCGGTTGCTAACTGAAATTCGTATGTCAGTTTTGTTGTTTGCTTGTTTTTTTTTTTTTTTGTTTTTTTTTTGTTTTTTTTTTACGTTGTGTAAATCGATACGTGAACGTGTAAGACGGAGCGGATGATTGAGAAATGTCCACATGAGCACTGGGGAATGTGGACGGCTCTCGTTACCCGTTGAATCGGCTGTGACATATTCTAGAAAATAATGGTAAACGATCTTGGAGCCCAGCTAAATTCGAGAAACAAATATTCGCCCTTGGCTGAATATATCCATTTACTGAATCAGTTTTTACATTGTACACACATATGTATGTACATATATTTATGCCTGAGATGGAGAATAAAGAGCTCATCTGCGGGTTTTTCTAGTCCTCAATTTACTGAATACCTGAAGAAAAATGAAGCCTGTGCATATGCTGTGGCCATAAATGAAATGATACAAAAATCACATATTAAAAAGAAAAATCAAATGCCACACACACACACACATCTGCTGATTAACGTTGCACGACAACGTCCTGCGAGTACGAGTATGTCATCGAAAAATGAGTTTACAAATTATGCCAGCAGCAATGGGGTGGGTGGGGGCTGGCCAGGACTTTCAACTGTAGGCTTCATTATTCCAATTAGCCCTCAAATTGCTTGCAAATGCAAATAAATTGCTTTCATAATGCACTTTCTAATTGCAATGTCATATGGTGCCCAGGGGCTGGTGGGGGGTTGGGGGTAATGGCTTGCCTACAGAGCCCCTTCACCCGCCCCCTAATAAATGCCATCAACCCTTGGGGGGGCCCAGGACACAAGCTCGCTCTCTCTTTGCGCTCAGCCGCTCTTTTGGGGTGATGTTCAACATGTTGCGGCAACAAATTGTTGCACAGTCTCTGGTGGACACACACCGGTGTGCTGTGCTGCCGGTTTCATTCACTTTTAACGCCACTTTTCACTCTCTTATTCGCATTCGCATTCGCCTGTTTCCTGAAACTCTCTCTCTCTCTCTCTCTCTCGCTATTACTCTCTTGCTGGCGCCTGTCCTGCTCCTTGCGCTGATGGTTGCGCCTGTTCTGCCCCTCCCGTAAAGCTCACCCTCTCTGCCGGTCTTTCTAAGCCGCTCTCCTCCTTCGATAGCTCTCTCTCCCTCTGTTCTTCGGCTGCTTATCGTGGTGTGTGTGTGTGTGTGTGTGTGTGTGTGTGCTGCCGGTCTCCTTTTGCTTATAAATATCCTTCTGCCGGCCGTTCTTCTGTTCGCTCCAACAACAGAGAGGCTCTCTTCTGGCCAGCTGAAGCTCTGCTGCAAAACTCTCTTTCTGTCGTTGTTGCTCTCTCGCTGCTTGCTATGCCAATTGCTGCATTCAGTCTGTGTGGCCGTGCCATGCCTTTGCTGAGGAGGATTCGCCAGCGATTCTATTTTGGCTCTAAATTGCATTCGAAATTCTTTCAGCTTTCTTTCTTTTTTGCTCTTTTGCTCTCGCTCTTTCTTCTTTTGTACTCTGGCACTGGCTCTCCTTTTGCTTCCTGCAACACACACACACACACACACAGATGCCAATGCTGATGCCTCTCCTTGCTGTGGCATATTCATTCTCGCACCTGCGCTATATTGTTGCGACGCATTTTCCTTTTGCTGCTGCCGTTCCACATGCTCATTCGTCATCCTCTCTCTCTCTCGCTCTCGCTCTCCCGCTCTCTTGCAGCAAAGCCTGTTTTCGGTTTTAAGCTTTAGCAACGGGACACAAAAAGAGAATGGGGGAAGCTTTGTTTGTTTTTGTTTTTCTCTCACCCGGTTTTCAGCTAGCTAACGATGCCGCTCTCTCTCTCTCTCTCTCTGTCTCTCAATCCCTGTCTGTCGCCCACGCCACTTTCCTTCTTGTTTGTGTTGATTCTTGTTTCGGGTTTGTTGTTTGTGTGTTTATATCGAACTACAATTACAGTTGGAGCTCCTGTCTCTCTCTCTCTCTCTCTCTCTCTTTCTTGCTGCATGTCTGTGATTGTTGTTGGCATGATTTTGCTTGATTTCCGCTTTGCATGCCGTCATGCACTTTGAACTTTTTTGCCCTTCTCCTTTTGTGAGATTCTCCCTCTTTCAACGCACCTGTCCCCCTACCCCTACCCCTACCCCTACCCCTAGCCCTTCCACCACACGTAGTTACCCGACTTGTACTCTTCCGTCTTCTACTTTAGTGTTTTTTGTTCCTTTTTGCTTTACTTTTTACATGCTTTCGCGTGCCTCTCGCATGCACCGAGGTGCAACCAGAAATGCAGCCAGAGAGTAAACAAGTTTTAGGACTTTCTTGTCCTGCTCCACGTCCACGTTCTTCACATTCAACTTCCCCCCCAGCCAAAGTAATCGAACTTTTCCTGTTGATTTTGGTGCAAGTTAAAAGCAAACACGAAAACTCAGTCGTAAAGTTCTTCTCCGCCAAGGACTTTGAGGTCACCATTCATCCGTTTCCCGTTCCTGTTCCCGTTCCATTCCAACGATTCCAATTGTGTCAACGCGTGACTGTCAAAACCTGTCAATCCAACGAGTCGATCAACCCGATGATCGATTATTTTCTAGTATTTTTTTCTGCGCGTTTCTAGACCATTATTAGTATTTTCTAATTGTTCCCTAGTATTTTGTTTTAAGATTCAAGTTTGATCTGTTGGGTTTTTAGTCAGGATTAACTCGCCAAGGTCTTATCGAAATTAGTATTTTTTGGATCTTCTTCCAGGGATATGCATCAATAATATTTATTAAAACTATAACAAAAATAGAAACAATTAACAAAATAAAAACCAAAAAAAAAAATACATAGCTGGTAATCATTGTCCTTGTCATTCTATCAGGTTCTTCATGTGGCTTTACCGCAGGCGCACTTCCTGACATTCAGCTTCATCTTGTCCTGTCCAGATCTTTGTGTCGGCAGGCGTCCCGTGTACCCCCACTAGTTGCAGTGGCGCTTGGGTTCGCGCTTGGGTTCGCGCTTGGGTTCGCGCTTGGGTTCGCGCTTGGGTTCACGCTTGGGTTCGCGCTTGGGGCGGCAGGGCTTTGGTCTAGCGATCGGTAACAAACAGGACTTTGGGGCTGGGATGCATTTTTTGGGAGCAGTCTGTTTGCAGGTTTTGTGAATTTTGCGGGTTTTGCGGATCTTGCTAGGTTTGTGGATCTTGCGGGTTTTGTGAACTTTGCGGGTTTTGTGGGTTTTGTGGGTCTGGTCTTGTGGGTCTTATGAGTCTTATGGGTCTTATGGGTCTTGGGGCATTTTTTTGGGGAAGGTTTGCAACCACAATCTGTGGAGGACGGGGTACAGTCGGGTGTCGCTTCCGTGCTATCACTCGTTGATTCTGTAGAGCTGCAGGGATCGGGGATTGTCACACATTCTGTGGAGGACGAGGTACAGTCGGGAGTCGCCTCCGTGCTATCACTCGTTGATTCTGTAGAGCTGCAGGGATCGGGGATTGTCACACATTCTGTGGAGGACGAGGTACAGTCGGGAGTCGCCTCCGTGCTATCACTCGTTGATTCTGTAGAGCTGCAGGGATCGGGGATTGTCACACATTCTGTGGAGGACGAGGTACAGTCGGGAGTCGCCTCCGTGCAATCATTCGTTGATTCTGTAGAGCTGCAGGGATCGGGGATTGGTACACATTCTGGGGGGGACGGGATACATTCGGGTGTCGAATCCGGGCAACCACACGTTGGTTCTATAGGGATGCAGGGATCGATGATTGGTACACATTCTGGGGGGGACGGGGTACATTCGGGTGTCGAATCCGGGCAACCAAACGTTGGTTCTGTAGAGCTGCAGGGATCGGGTTCTGTCCTGCCAAAACGACGCGAGACGACGTCCGAGCACTTTATAAGCAGTAAGCTCGCTGCAAAGGAAGAAATAGCGTGGGATTACGGGAATTAGGTGGATCGAGGGAATGGGCCAGGTGGTGCCACCAATTACCAATCAGTATGCCAATGAAAAACCTCATTTTGGTCCTTTCTACAGTGAACTAATAAGGTTACGGGAACGATGGAGTTTGGATCTGTGGTTGCGACTTCACTGGGTGGTGCAAAGCCTTTAACTGATGCCTTCTTCGTTGGCCCCGTGGCCTTTATATACACATGTCCTGGCCATAAGTGGGTTTAAACAAATACAGCCGCCCCCACAGACACGACAACATCAAAAGGTAATTGCACCCAAAAAAAAAAAAAAACGAGAAGGAACGTGTGAGTCGCTTCTTTGGACGCGACTCTACTTGTATACCCGTGCTCACTCAGTATATAAATTTATGAGCTTATGATTTATGTAGAATTTTAAAATATTTTACATTTTTTTTGCTACATATGTTATCTACATCTACTTTTACAATGTCGATTTCACATCTAAAATTCCCCGCAAAGGTTGCGCATTGCACACGGCAGAGTGTGTGCGAGCGAATTTTTGAATTACACTCGTAGCAGTATGATATCATATGAGTCTGGAGTCTAATATGCCCCTTAACTCTTTTTGAGTACGGGTACAAAAACAAAAAAACTTTCCACCGTATCGCAGACGATCCGCTCCGCCTGTGGATTAATAATAGCCACCGTCTGGCCCTTGGAGTTGTGTTAAGTTCAAGGTGCAAGCAATAAATACAAGTGTATAAGTCTGTTTCCAGAATTTCGGAAGTAATATCCATTTTATATGCTTTACGATAAAGAGATCCCAAAGAGGACTGTTCAGCCTATATTATCTTATTTTTGGTATGGGCATATGCTGTTCCGTGAATATGATCGAAGTCGTAGGAGGTTTTGCAGTTGGCAGGCCATCCATCCGATAGATTGTTGGCATTTCAATTTGACTTTGTGGCGGATGCAGTTATTTAAAATTGTAAATTTTGACCTAGAAAAGCGAAACAAAGGTAGCACCGGGTTGTGTGGGGGATGCGGAATGGGGCAAATGCCAGAGAAAGGTAGAGAGAGAAACCAAAAAAAAAACCAACGAAAAAAGAAGTCCAATGAACCCTCGGACGTTGGCAACATTGTTGCTGGCACTCTCCACTCCGCCCCCCCTTCCAGCCACCCACTACCGTTCATTTTCCCCTCCCTTTTACCAATCTTTTACGTCCCTACCTCCTTCATTCAGAAGAACCCCTCTAAAACGTAGAGCAAAATGGAATGCAAGAGAGGAATTATGAAAACAAACAATTTGCTGCTGGTGCTGCTGCTGCTGCTGCTACTGCAGCAGCTTCTGCATCTCTTACTCCACTTATTCTCTCTTTCCCTTCACACTCCGCTCTTTCTCTCTTTTTCTCACCGCCACTAAATTCTTCTTCTGCAAAGTTTTGGCCAGGGCTGAGACCGCTACCGCTACCGCTGTCAACGCTGGCCGCGCAGCCGCTGCAGCGAGTCCATGCATGTCCAAACAAGTTCCGTTCCACACAAATGCCAGCACGTTTCGAAATTGCCGCTGCCGCAACGCATACACTGACGCTGACGTCGGCGTCGGCGACGGCGTCGACGCATCATAACAATAACAAAAGCCAATAGGAGAGAAGGGAAGAGCAGAGAGGGGAACTGCACGCAGGGCAGAAATGCAAGAGCAAGCAAACATTTTTGGAGGCAAGGTACATTCAATAGAGGGTAAGCAGGCACCACCCCACCCTGCTGGCATAGCCTAATCTTCTTTCAGAATTTCCCCATCCTCTAATTAATATGCACACCAAAAGAAACTCAGGCTTAAGAGAGTGAGTGTGGAGAGAAAGAGAGTGAGTGAATGGCTTGGAGAGGAGAGCATAGCTTGGTTCTATGCTGAGAAGATAGTGAAGAGCTTGACGGCGTGGAAGAGAGGAAGCAGTAAAGCTGGAGTGTAATGAAAATGACGCAGCAGAACCATCAGCACCAGCATAACAGCCAGAAACAACAGCAAAGGAGAGAGAGAGAGAGACAGGGAAGCGGCATCTTAGGGTTCTGTTCTGCACAGAAGCTAAACAAGATGAATGTCGAATTTTAGGGTGGTCCTCAAACCTCCATGTGTAGATCCTTCGATGAATCACGACTGTTCAATTTAAAACCACCACAAATCTATTACATTCCAAAGCACGGCAAAAACCAAAACACTTGTAACAATTCCATTTCCCATGGTGTTGTCATCTATGTACAATGTATACGATGTATGTATCAAGATTACCGCTGCTGTAATCCACCGTCTCAACAGAATCGCAGAGCTTGCTGTGGACCCTTTATATAATTGAAAGCAATCATTTGCATTGGAATTACTTTGACCCCACAAAAGAGATTTATTCAAGTACTAGCCTAATCAGCACCACCCACACACAAACAGCGCAGCGATGTGTCCATGTACATATGTACATGTGTATATTGCAGTCGCTACCGAGTGGACCTAATCGAAAGCAAAGAAACTGCAGCGTCTGTGTTCCCTGCACTTATTGGGGGTCCGCCCTAATGTTCTTTGGCTCTGTCCGAGAACGCTGCCCATACAATAACACACATAGCGCTGGCTGCCTCTGCCCCCGCTCGCAGTTACTAGCCAATGCTGTTGTTTCTTCCTGTTTCGCTATGCACAAGCGCAAGAGGAAAAGCAACAAACAGAGACACACACACTCAAACATATACATCAATACATCCATACATACAAGACAGCACGCAACGCGTCACGTGCGCTCTCTGCCTGGCTCTTCCCAAGGTATATTTTGGAAAGAATGTAAGGCGGTTCTAGGTCTCTTTGTGGTATGCTCCCGCATATTTGCCATGTTCTTATGATTATTTTAATCGCCGAAGGATTAGTAATAACAACCAAATAGTTGCTGCTCTCCTCACAGATTGCCTTACCTTCAATTAAATGTACCCTGGCTCTCCCTGTTCACATTCTCTGTCTCTCTCTCCCTCTCTCTGTCGTACGTTCACTGCACTGTGTGTGCGCCTTTGTTGTTTTTGCGAATGCTGCTGCTGCTGCTGCTGTCGCTGTCGCAGTCGCTGCTGTCGTCGTCGACGCAGGCCAGTGGCAGCAGCAGCGCAGCCAAAGTTAAAGCCATTCCCGGAGCTGCGGCAGCATTTAGTTTGCTTCTGTCATTGCATTTGTGCGGGTAACAAACAACAAGCAAAAGAACGAAAGGAAACATTAGAAACATAGCAAACAAGAAAGAACGAAGAAATATAGCAATCCAAACAGCTAAACAACAAGAAAAAGCTCATAGGCAGAATATAATATAATATAATCAACATAAGGAGCGCAGCAACAAAAATAAGAAATAACCATGCAACAACAATAATAACAAAAGAAAACACAAACAAAAATCAGAAGAAAAAAATCTTCACCAAGAACCAACAGAAAAACAAATCGTCAAAAACCTGCTTCGTTTTTGCATTGACATTCTGGTTTTTTTTTTTTTGGTTTTGATGTAATTTTTTTTATATCAGTGTGCAAATGAGAGAGCAAAAACAGTTTTAACAACAACAACAATAAAAAGTGCTTCAACAATTCTAACGGTAAATAATAAAAAAAGGCCCAAAAAATAAGTTTTTTTTTGCATTGTGTGTGTTTTTGTGTGTGTCTTTTCTCTCCCTTTTTATTCTTCTTTGATTTTGCATTTTGCTGGTCCGCAAGAGAGAGAGAGAGTGGGTGCGAGAGAAGACCAGTTGGTCAGCTTTATTGCTTGATGTTTTTGGGCTTTTGTTTTAGCATGTGCCCGTTTTCTACGTTGCAGGCGGGGGGTGGTGTGAGTGTGAGTGGTTTGCTGCGTTGTGGCGGGGTGGGGTGCGGTTCTCTCTCAACCATCTGCTGCCAGCACACACAAATACAAAAACTCTCGCAAGCACAGCATTTATAGTGGAGCGCGTGCTTTTTTCTGCTGTCTTGCTGTCTACGCTTTTTCGCCTGCACACACACACACGAACACTGCGTTCTCTTTGAAGCTCCCTCTCTCACTCTTGTACTGGCTCTCCCAAGGCTTACGTGATGCAAGGTGAGGCAGTAAGTGCGCTCTTCGAGTTTGGAACTCTCTCACCTACAATCACACACACATGAAAGTTACTGTATCTCGTGGAGCGACTCTCTTGGTTAATTACACCTTGGCTTTGTCTCTCTTTTGTGCGCACTCACGTAGCTCTGCTCTGCTGCCAGCCGCATTGGCAGATTGTCAACGCTTTCATTTGACGTTGTTTAGCCATACCGTGCGCGTCGTCGTCCACTGTCGTCGTCGCCGTCGCTGTCGCCGTTTGTCGTCTCGTCGCAGACGACGTCACAGTCTAAAAAGTTGCGTCAGTTCAGCCAAACAAAAAAAATTTAAAAAAAAAAACCAAAAACAAGAAAACAACAAAAATACAGCCAAAAGACTAACTTTTGCGGGATTATTTTTTTACAAGTGCCTAAAAAATACTTTTTACAAAAAGTAGGTGAAAAATGGATATGAAATTATCATGTAATGCAAATGAAAATACATGTACGAAAAAAAAAATCTGGATTTGGCAATTATTTACATAAAAATGCAATTGAATAATAAGAGGTCTAGTCATCAGCGGCTTTCGGTGCTCTTTAACTCCCTCTCTTTCCAACCCGTTTCCTCTCTTAATCACCCTGCTTCGCTCTCTTTTTGTATGCGTAAGCTTTTTCTAGATTTCCTTTATTTTGGTTGCAATTCTTTTCAAAAATTTTAAAACAAATAAAAAAATTGCCCAGAATTTTGTTTGATTGAAAAATTAGTCAGCAAAGATACTGCCACACAGATACACACATACACGTACATATGTATGTATGTATGTACATCAGAAACTTTTTCCTCTTTCGTTTTTGGCTATTTTTATACGAAATTTTATTTTTTTGCACGCTCCATCACTCTTCATTTCGAAATTAGCAACAATAACACGGAACACGGTGGGAGAAAGAAATGCAAAAGAAAGTGCGTGATGTGCTGTCTGACGGGGTAAAATAGAGAGAGAGAGAGAGTAATAGAGAGCCAGCTGAAGCTCTCTCTTTTTCTCTCTCTCCTGGGGAAGCTTACACAAACAAAAAACAACAAAAAAAGAATCTGTCGTTTTTGTCTTGCTTTTGGTTGAATTTTGTTGTTGTTGTGTTTTTTGCTTTCCCCTTTATTTCCTTCTTGTCGTTCATTGCTGCTTTGCTTCCTTCTTTATTTCTTTTTGTTCCTTCTTATTTACGTTTCTCTAGCGTTTCTTATTTTGTTGCTTCCTTTGAAAAATTCACTTTCTTCTCAAAAATGTTTTGCGAAGAGAGCTTTTATTTCTATGTGTGTTCTCAAGTGCATATTGTGCATCTAAAGAATAGTTTTCTGAATACTTTGGCAAAGGAATGAAAAGTGAATGCAATCCATTGCAGTCAGGTCAGTCCTTGTTTGAATGATGATCCTTCGGTGGCATCGAAACGATGGAGCTTTTCATGTATTTCTACCTGTATTCTCCTTAAATGTCCACCAAAAAAAAAGATTAAATTTCTGAGGGCAAATCTCTTATCTTTGATGTGTGTGATCTTGTCGTCTGATGTTCTCAAAGGATAGTTTCTCATATTACAATGCCATCCATCTCACTCGCTCTCTCTCCTTCTTGGTGTTCTCTAGCAAAAGGTCCCCTCAATTTGTGTCTCATTATGTTTTGGCACTTTTTGAAAATTCCTTTCTGGGTTTAATTTCATTTCTGTGGTTTTTTTTTTTACCTTTTTGAACATTTACCGTTTTGCTTTACTCACCTTGAAAGTTCTCTCTTCGTTTCTTGACTTTTGAATTCTCATGTCTGGTGCACTCAAGTGTTTTATATGATTATTAAGATTGTGTGTGTGTGTGTGCCTTGAGGCCCAGTCAGCCAGCCATCATCATCATCCCTGTTCCCTGTTCCTGTCCCTGTCCCGTCCTGGTCTCTTCCGCCCCACCTTTCTCTTTTACATATATTTCTTTCACACGCTGATTCCGGCTATTCCTTCGATTCAACGTGTATAGAAGAAAGGCAAAGCCTGACAATGGGCCATAAAGTATTTGAGAAATATACTATGTCGAAAAGGACGACCCTTAACCCCGGGGTTGATTTCACTGCCCCCTTCAACCGTCCTGTCCTGCCCCTGGTTCTTGCTGTTGTTGTTTTTGGGGTCGATTTCTGGTTTACTTTCCAGGTACTAGAAAAAAAAAGTCCTTGTGCTCGGTTCGCTTGTGAGGAGGTGCCCTCCTTCTCTTCCCCACCCTCCTAAAAGGTATATTAACTTTTCCCAGGAATCAAGTTATTCTCGGTTTCTCATTGACGACGTGGTGGGTTGGCGGGGGGGAGGGTGAGGCAATTATTGCAAATTTTTTTTTTGTTCTCCTGATCCATTTAAAACGGTTTTCCATTTGAATATTTAATAGAATTTTGCCACGCGCCGCAGTAGGCCACCCGCCACCCCCCCGCAGCTCTGACGCTCGCTCTCAATAAGCATGTCACCCTGTTATACATGTATGTGCAGGGGGATGTAGGCGGTGTAGAGGCGGTGGGGTGGGTGGGTGTCGCACATTTAATGTCAAGGCAGCAGCCCCCCAGGAAGCATTCCACATCACCCATGCGACAAACGATAAAAAAAGCTTCTCGAAGCTCTATCTCTCTCGCTCTCTTTCCGTCGCTCTCTTTCCTTTTTTCTATTGAAGTAACTGCTGTTGTAATGGGACTCTCAAGAGAGCGGCTGACAAGTAAATACGCCGGCTGCAGTGGCAATGGCACTGGGCACCCTCTCTGACCATTTCTCTCGTTTTCTCGCTTCACACAGCCCTTGGAAAACAGAACGGGATGCGACCCTTGACCTTTTATATGAATTATGACAGAATGAAGCAACAACAATGCCGCTCAGTTGAATGCCCCACACACAAACACATACAGCTAACAGGACAGCTGACAGAAGGGGAATTCCAGCGTACGCTTGCGCTTGCGCGCACGCGCCAATGCTCCTTTTTCTTTCTCCTCCACATTTTCCATTGATTAGACGACGGGACGAAGCGACGGCGACGGCGACTGCACCGCTGCGCGGCTGCAACTTGTTGGGTTAGTGTGGAAAGGGGGGAGTCGGGGACTTCGACTTTGCCCTCCTATTCCTCTCTCTCTTTCTCACTCTTTTGTTGTTGTTTTTTTTTGTTGCCGCCACGCAGCTGTGAACAATTAGCGCAAACGCAACAGCTGCTCGCGGCTGCGACTGCATTTTACAGTTCCTCTCTGCTTCAGCTGGTGCAGGCGACCAATGTGTCAGAGATGATTTCCGAGATTGATTGAACTTTCGAAACAAAACAAACAAAAAACTTTCCTTGTGCAGTTGACAAATGTGCTCAGTTAGTTTTAAATTTGAAGTGATGTTCATAACTTAGCTTAAAGCTTAAAAGATACATAAGCATAAACTTAAACTTTTGTAGCCTCTTGCGCTCTCTTTGTTCTATGCTCTCTCTCTCTCCCCCTCTGCATTGTTTGTGAATAAGTGAACTAAAAAACGTATTTTTCTTCTCATCTTTGCTCATTCCAGCCCAAACAGCAGCCACAGCCACACAGCAACAACGTTAACAACAACAATTTATTATTGCAACAACAAAAGGAAGGAAAACTGCAACCCACGCAAACAACAAACAACCAACAAAAACAACAACAACAAAAACCACCGAAGCCGAACCACAAACTCCAAACAGAAGCAGCTACAACTACAACTACAGCTCAGCTCTCTCTCGCTCTCTTTGAACAACATACAACTGTAAACGTGTCGTTATCGCGGACTTTAAGCTGTGCCTGCCTGTGCCTGTGCCTGTGCCTCTCCCTCTCTCACGCTCAACAAACTAAATTGCTCTGTGTGTGTGTCATCGTCATCGCGTTGTGTTGCGTGTGTGTCTGTGTGTGTGTGCGTGTTCGTGTGAGTGTGTGTGTCACCAAAGTGAAGGTGTGTGTGGCGCGTGGGTGTGTGATAGTACAAGTAAGAGTACGAGAGTACGCATTGAGACGCGTCGTCGGCTATGGTAAAGGGCATAGATGCGCTAATACAAGCGGTGCGCTTCATTGAGCAGAATGAGAAGCTTTCGCAGGCGGCAGGTGGAGGAGGAGGAGGAGGAGGTGGTGGTGGTGCGGCTGGCATCGGCCTGGTGCCACAGCCGATACCGCTGCACAGCATCAATGGGAATGTCGGTTATCGGAGCAGCAAGAGCATCGGTATTCCCACTAACAACAACAGCGCGAGTCAGCACAATAGAAATACTACGGGGAGTAACGGCATCATTGGCAGCATTGTAACAGCAGCAGCAGCCGCAGCAGCATCGTCATCATCATCATCGTCGTTGTCGGGTTGCTCCGTGTATGCAAACGGAAATGGTAACGGTAACGGCCACGCCAGCAACAGCAACAGCAGCAGCTGCGGCAGCAACAGCAACAGTCCACGCAGTCAATTGGTGGCAACCTCCGGATCTGGCCATGATTACGAGTACGTTGGCAGCGTCGTTGCACCCCCCGCCACTGTCGCACATGGACAATTGGAGGCGTCATCGCTGCGCCATAGCGAAGGTCGCAGCATTATCTCGGGTAAGTTTCAATGTTCTCTCTCTCTCTCTCTCTTTTGATTGTAACACTCAATCCAATTCAATTGTTATCGTCATCATAACACACCCCCATCCCCCCCATCATCATCCCTAATCTATGAGAATATCCTACTAGTAAATGGGTTTTTTTTTCTGTCGATCCCCTGCCCCCCGCTCTTTCTATTAAGCTGCCCGCTGCAGCAATCCCTCGTCTTACCCCCTACCCATCCCCCTTGGCTCTTCCTTCTCCCACAAACGAAACTGTTGATGTTGCTCTCTCAACGCTGTTAGCTCTCTTTTTTTTCGCTGCATTTAAACTTGTTTTGACCTTGTTTGCGTCGTCGCTGGCGTCTTCTCTTGTTCACCCTGCACTTTGCGTGGGCGCGCACTGTACCCCAACAGGCAGCTCTCTCTCTCTCCCGCACACACTCACTCGCAGGTTGCAAGCGTGGCAGCAGCAGCAGTCGGAGCAGCCGCAGCAGGTACTGTTATATTTTTAGCGCGCGCTGTTTGCTAAGCGGCCGACGTCAGCCGCGACGCAACGCGACGCGACAGAGTTGGCGTCAGCGTTAGCTGCGCAGTCAAATTGGCATGTGCTAAATTGTCATGCTGCTGCTGCTGCTGCGATCGCTGCGCTGTTGCCTTGACTATGATAGGAGTGCTGCCCAATTTGTGTGTGGTGGTGAGGCAGTGCAGCAGCGTACAAAAAAATATATATCTGCATACATACATACATAAATATATCTGATGTATGTTAGTATTTATATTTTTGTTGTTTTCCGTTTCGGTTTTCCCATTTGCCTTTTGCTGTGCTCATTTGGTTTTTTTTCGTTTTGCTTCCCTTTTCTTCTCGTTTCTTTTTTGTCATGCGCTTTTGCCTGTTTTCGTATTTTTTCGCACGTACGCTTTGTACTTGTTGCTGTTGTTGTTGTTTGGGGTCACGTCATGGCTCGCATCGCACGCCTCTCTCTCTTTTTCTCTCTTTGACAAATTAGTCATACTAGCCCCCAAACTAATGACAGCTCATAACAAAAGAGATAGCGAGAGAGAGAGAGAGAGAGGGTGGAGCGGCAAAGTGTTTATGCAAGCGAAGCAGCAGGGCAGGCCCACGTGAGCGTTGGCATGCTCTTGCTCCCTCCCGCCCCTCTTCAGAACCTCTCTCTCTTTCTCACTGTCTGCATTAATTTGTGTCTTTGCAAACAAACAACATGCAAAACTCTCCCGCTCGCTCCTCTTTATGCTGTGTGGCTCTCTCTCTCATTTGCTGGAGCTCTCTTTCGTCTTTTGATTTCGCGCTCTTCTCTCTTCGGGCTCCTCTCTCTCTCTCTTGCGTTGGTGGTGTAAAGCAAAGTCAATGAACTTTGTACGCATTTATGTTTTGGTATTGCTTTTTCGTGCCCATTTCATGTTATTACTTTTTTTTTTGCCTTTCTTTTATGTTTCTTTTTTTTTTGTTGTATTTTATGTTTGTTTTCTTCACACTTACAAATTTGTTGGTTGCTTTTGCTGCATGTAATATTTGGACAGCCGTTTTTTGGTTTTTTGAACCAACTCCCACTCACTTCCCCCTGCGCCCATTCTCTTCTCTTGATTCATATATGCACTGTTTTCTGTTGTGTTGTTTCTGTGGCTTTTGAACCACTGCCTTTTCCTGGTTTTTGTATTTGGCTTTGTATTTAGCTGAGCGTGTGTTTCTGTTGCTTTTGTTTCACCATCAGCTGGAGCTTCAAAAACAATTGGTTTGATGCTTTGGGTTGGGTTGTGGGCCTTTGGGGCTTTGGGGCTGTGAGTGAGAGTGGGTGCAGGAGAAATGCAAGATTATGCAAACAGAATTAATCCACGGGGGGAAGAGTGCGGCTGAGGCCTGTCAAAATTTCAGTGGAAATGTCTATTTTTAAACGTAATTCTTGGGCTCGTCCAGAAATCAAGATGCAAGAGACAAGGGCTCAGGGCCGCTCAATGATTAATCTCTGGAGAGGCAAATGTGGGAGCGGTGTATGATGTGTGTGTGTGTGGTGCATGCAAGGTGTATTTAGATGCAAGGTGAGGAGCATTCATTCCTGTTCGTTGTCTTTAGGAATAGGATCTGTGGAGAGATCAAAATATGGGACAAAGTGCCTGGTCAAACTGTTGGTATTGCTGGTGTAGTCATTGACGAAATGTCGCAAGAATGGGGGTGTCCTCCAGGCATTTGAATGGATTGAAAAGGAAACACCAAGAGGAATAATTTCAACAAAAAAAAATGTAATTACAACAACAACATATAGAACATATACTTCAACAAAGCCAAACCTACAACAAATAGACTACACCAACAACAAAAACAAAAAACATAACTATACCAACAACAAAAACCACAAACGTAACTACACCAACAACAAAAATCACAAACAAAACTACACCAACAACGGAAACACACAATTTTTTTAATAACTACTACACACAAAATTACAACAGCACCAACAGAAAACTCAACAACCGCAAATAAACCAACAGAAAACTCACCAACAAATAAATCAACAGAAAACTCACCTGCGTCAACTGAAAATTCACCAACAAGTTGCATTGCCAAACTCTTTAGAGCCATTGCCGTCCAAAAAAAAAATGGATACATTATCATTATCGTCATGGTAATAATTGTATATATTCATACATACATATCTATGTGTGTGTGTGTGGCGTGCAAGTGTTGATAACACTGCCCCAAGTGCTGCTGTTGCAGCCACGTGCGCTTTCATCACGTGGCACACACAAGCGGCAATTGCAAAAGCCCGGCGGCGGCATCATCAGCAGCAGCAACATGAACAAACAAACCTAAAAAAAAAAAACAGTTGTGGGTAGGGGTGAATGTGTGTGTTGGACGTAGGAAGGGCTGATAAGGTGGTGTAAATGGAAGTGGAAGAATGGTGTGAAAACTGGTGGCAGGGGCATGGAAAACATGTGCATATGTGAACCAAAAGCGAAACAGATGTGGAAAGTGGGGAAAGAGAACGAAACGGAAGGCATTATTGCGTATGTGGGTTGGTTGGGTGGGAGGGGGGTTGAATGGAATCCAAACACTGAATAATCCCCTATTAAGAACGGGGATTTGAATGCCCAAAAACGCATACTATGGGATTATCAGAGCATTATCAGGAGAGGGAATGAATCGAAATAATTTATCTTGTGATTCGATTGATATCTAACCTTCAAGCTAAATAGCTTTAGCAATTGTCTCTTAGCTCCTTGTCTCTCGGCTTTTTTTTCGATGTAGGAATATCTCAATCAGATGTGATTTGTATTTGCACGCATCTTTGGGTATTACAAATTCAATAAACTTATAGCTTCGCATAGAAAGAACTTCACTTTGGATTGGAACAATTTGAAAACCACCAATAAAACCCTCTCTGCTTGTGGCACCCGTTCGCTTATGGGAAATTGTTGCGCACTGTATCAATAGAAATAACTTTCTTAAAGTTTAATGGGTATGGGCATAGAGTATTCATCACTTTTTTGGGGGATTCTTTCAGACGTAGGCTTATATCTGTAATTCAATCTCTGTTGTGGTTGCGACCTGTCAAAGTGGACACGTGTCACCCATGCACCCATCCGCCCATTTTCCAATCTTTCATCACCCTACAACCCATTCCACTGGCAAGGAAACCACAGAAGGTAGAAAATCGAAGGAACGGGGGAGGACAAATCGATCATTAATAATGCATACTGCACCATGTACACTCGTAATACACGAATTGTTGTTGTAGTTTTGTGGTTGTCGCTGCTGCTGCTATTGTTACATACCGTGCTGTGTGTTTGTTGTTGTACTATTACTGTCTGCTCTGATGCGAAAATAGCATTGAATTTTCCGAAACGGAATTGTAATTAATTCATTCATTCACCCACACGCATCCATAATCATCAAATAATTAACCGTGGACGCCTTGATTGTTGACTCCTGTTTTCGTTTTCTGTTTAATTCCATTTATTGTGATTTATTTAATTATTGTTTTGCTTTCATTTGTTTTTGTTTAATTTTATTTGTGGCTTGTTTTATTTTTTAATTAGTATTCCCATTAAAATAAAACTAACAAAAAATTAAAAAAAAGAAAATTGAATACAAATAATAAACTAGAAAGAGATTAAAAAAAAAAATGAGAATTAAATTTTAAAAAAGTTTTCTTTAACTTTGGTAATTTTTGAAGATAAAAAATCCTTCCCATTATACTTTCCTCTACTCTCTCTCACTCTTCTTTGTTTTTTTTTATTTATTTATTGTGGTTTTGTGTAAATGTCTTTGCCCAATTAGCTGCTTGTCCCTCTGTTGAATGCCACACACACAATAAATAGTTGAAGTAGCGCCCACGTCATTTGCCTTTCATACATCATACATGCGAAATAAATCCATCCATCCATTTTGGTTTTTGTAATTGCCTGTTGGAAAATCGTATCGTATCCTTTTTCTTATTATGATTTTTCTTTTCTTTTTTTTCCTTTTCTCCCTATGTTTGCTTTGGTTTTCGGATCACATTTTTAGAGGATGAAAATTCCTCGTCCAACTCCAACAACTCCTACTCCCAACAACAACAACAGCAGCAGCAGCAGCAGCAACAACTAATTGCAACATCAGCGGGCAGAGCAGTGGCTGTGGCAGTGGCGGCAGCAAGAGGCGGCAGCCCCGCCTCCAACTCTGCAACGTCTCCCCTGAAATCTCCCACCACCTCCAACGCCGCTTCAGCTGCAGCCGCGGACACCTCCGTTGCTTTCATTCTGCGGGCGAATGCCAATGGTGGTGCCCCAACCTTCATCCATCAGGCTGCAAAGCACAAGCTGAGCAACGGGAACGGCAACGGCAACGGCAATGCCAGTGGCACCAGTGGCAGTGGCACAGCCAGCGCCAGTGGTGGTGGCTCAGAGATTCCGCGCAAATATATGCTGGTGTCGGATGGCAAGGGCACCGTCTACCCGGCGCCAGACAGCGGCTCCAACTCCGCCTCCAATCCGACAGGGGCAGGAGCCTCTTCCGCTCCTGCCGTCTCCGCCTTTCTGCTGGGTGGCAGCCATGGGGTAGCCAGTGCCAGTCGCTTTGCTGATTTGCAAAATGCCATTTGGCAGGAGAGTCAGCGACACCATCCGCACCACCATCACCAGCAGCAGCAGCAGCAAAAGCAGGTCCTGGGGAAGTCAGGGATACCACTCACCCCGCCACCGATGTCCACACGCAAAGTGGCCGACACGAATGCCCGTATACGTTCGTACTCACTCTCCTCCCATAAATTTTCAGCGCCCGTCCAGGGCGACAGCCACCAGCAGCAACACCACCACCCATTGGGCTATATGAACAGCGGGCGGGTGGTGGGTGGAGCGGCGGGCGCAAGCAGCTCCTATCGCCAGCTAATCAATGTTCAGTCGGCAGCGAGTGCGGCAGCAGCAGCCGCTGCAGCAGCGTCGATGGCCAGCAGCTCCTCCGTTTCGACATCGGCGCCAGCGGTGGGATCTCAACTAAGCCACGGCGGACGGAGGCGCACGACCAGCTCCAACAGCAACGGGTGAGTTCAGCCTCCCTATCTCTCTCTCTGTCTCTCTCGCTCAGATTACTAATGTACATATTTTGCAATCCATAAACAGAGCTGGCACTCGGGAGGTGCACAACAAGCTGGAAAAGAATCGTCGGGCCCAGCTGAAGGAGTGCTACGATCAGCTGAAGCGGGAGCTACCCATGGGGGACGAGGATCGCAAGAAGACCTCTAATTTGATAATACTCGATACGGCCCATAAATATGTCAAGGTGGGTGGCGTTTGCACACACTCAATTCATACAATAATTAAATTGAATTGAATTGATCTAACACTCTCTCTCTGTCGTTCTCATCTATTAGGAATTGACGCAGCGGGATCGCGAACAGGAGGCGGAGGTGGAGCGTCTGGCCAAGCAGAAGATTGAGCTGCAGAAGCGATTGAATAGTTTGCGAAGAGACACAGACCAGCAGAGCATTCCACTGAATGAAAAAGGTACAGACAAACGGACGGGGGGAAATTTGATTCGAAATTTGATTTGCAATTTGATTTGCATTGCATATGGTATGGGTCGAGATGTAGATCAAATTTAGCATATGCTTGAGAGGTTCTGCCAATCAAAATTCCGTTGACCTTCACGTATTGTGCAATCATCTCACGCTCTCTGTCTCTCTCTCTCTCTGTCTGTCTCTTTTTTTTAGCCGTTTGCCTGGCGGCCGGCTCATCAGCATCCGCTACATCCAGTGGACGCAGCGGAACAACCATACTGTTTGATGCCACAACAGCCTCTGTCTGTGCAACTGGGGTAAAAATATGCCGCCGCCCCCCCTTCATAATCGATCGAGAATCTATATCTCTGTCTCTGTTTCTTTCATGCATTCGCAACATTAGCTAACAACTGTGATAAGCAAAACGAATGCAACAAAAACAGCAGCAACCGCCGCAGCAGCAGCAGGAGCTGGAGTAGGAGTAGGACCAGCAGCAGCAGCAGCAGGAACAGTAACCAACTCCAAGCACATCTCCAATTCCAGCGGGAAAGCTGTGGCTGTGGCTGGAACTGGGGCTGTCGCTGCTGCTGGAACCCACTTGATCTCCGGTAATGGAAATGGGAATGGAACCGGAACCGGAACAGCCATCATGACAATTAAGAATGGCAGCATTCTGGCCATCTCACCTGCGGCCATCGTGCAGCAGCATCATCACTCCCAGCACAGCAGTCCGGCGGGCAGTCCAACGAGTGTGACAATGGGTGCAACCACAACACGTGGCTCGCCGACACCATCGACGCCGTCGCCATCTCCCAGCTCCTCTTCGAGCGGTGTCTCGTCGTCGGCCTCGTTCATGAGCTCCTCTTCATCATCGTCCTCCTCCTCCTCATCCTCGTCGTCGTCGTCCAGCTCATCGTCAAGCTCCTCATCGTCGCCCACACAGACGACGACCGCGCATCTATTGGGATCGCGCAGCGTTGGCCTCAAGTACCATGGGGCTGCAGGCGGCCCTGGCACCGCACTGAATGGTGGAGCCACCATAGTGGCAACCGCAGTGCCATCAGCTGTGGGATCAGCGAATGGTAAGTGAAATAATAAAATGTTAAGTGGTTTAATGTTTTCTAATCTTAATTTTCCCATGGAAAATTTCCATCAGGTTTCCATCAGGCGGAAAAGGATCGTAATTATAATTACTTGATGCTCAGTGCTGGCACAACGGCGCAGTAATTTTTGTAGGAAGAAGCAACAGCCAACAAACTAACAAACCAACAATTACAAAAACAATAACAATAAAAAAACAACAACAGCAACAACAACTGAATTGTGTGCAACAGCTCCCACCTTATAAAAAGTAACAACAACAACAACAAAAACTATTAGAAGATGAACTGGAAAACCAATGAAAGAACAAATGATGAATTGTTCTTCAAGAATCTTCTACATTTCTTTCTAAACTACAACAAAAGCAACACCACTTGGCACACACAATCATACACACACACACACAAACACACAAACGCATAAATTTCAACAACAGCAAACGATTATATTTGTTGCAACAACAACAAGAACAAACAGTTCCGCCCAACATATAGCATCGATTTTGAAAATCATTGAGTAAAAGAGAGCAAAGAAAGATAGACGGAGATGGAGCGAAAGGTATTTTTAAATAAATGATTTTACACCAAAACAAGCGACAACAGCAAACAGTGGGGAAAAAGACACATACTCAAACAAACATTTTCAACAACACCTCAACAGGAAAATGAGAAAATACAAGAAAGGTACACCAACAATAAGCAACAACATGTGCAACAATAATCAAATCAACAACGCGCCACAACATGTGAAACAATAATAAACAACAACAAGAAGACCAATTATATGAAGCAATAACAACAAGAGCAACAATAAAACAAACACCAACAACAAGAGCAAAACAAAACAAAAACAACAAAAAAAAATATACAAAAGGACTATCCAACAAAAATATAAACAGCAACAAAAAGATTAGCAATAAGCAAACAAAAAACACGAACAACAATCAACAACAGCAGAAACTTTACCAGCAACAACGTTTACACCAACGCCAACATCATCACCAACAATTTCAACAGCAGTAAATAACAACAGAAACTTCAACAACATGGCGAACTTCAACAGCAGAGCAACAAAAAATTCACCAACAGGCAGCATTTCAGCACACACACACACACAAACAAATGCAAAAAGCAAAATCATTTATATAACTGTATACATATATATAAATAAATAATTAAATCTAATGTACTACTTTATAGCCTAGTAAAGATCTAGATCTATCTGAACAAAAACACCAACCAACAACAACTAAGAGTAGCACATTTAATTGTAAACGAAAAAGGATAAGAAATTGTAAACCAAAATGCGCTGTTGTAACAGAAACCACCAATGGGTAACGCTTTATAAATATACACATACACTTATATATATTGTATATTATATATATATATATGTATATGTATACCTACAACTAAAAAAAGGAGGGAGAGAAATCACACAAAAACATTACTTATAATGATTAAAATATAAACGAACACAAGTTTCCAAAAGATCCATCATATATTGGTAAGGCATATACATAGATCTATATACCATCTATAGGAAAACAAAATGAAAATCCTTTTGTAGTCTCTACTTTTGACCAAACAACAAGCGAACAAAATGTACTCATTTTTGTATAGCAAAGTAAAGAGAACGTGTATGTTTTTTTTTTTATAGAAAAGAGAACGGATAACGAGTACGCTTACTTTTGTATAGCCTAACCAGCCAACAAGGATTACTTTTTTTTTTACTACCGCAAAATGGCATCCAATTATTATGTGAGAATTGTGTATATTTCAAACATTTGTTTTCTTCTCCTTTTTGAGTGTCTAGAAACGAAGCAAAAAAAATCAAATCAAATCAATAGAATTATAACAAACTAGAGAGTATTTTGTGTGTATGTTATATCTGCGTGTGCAAATACATTTATAGAATAGAATTAATGCATAGCCCCCCCATATATGTATGTACATGTACATATGTGTATGTGTGTGTGTGTGTAGATACATCCATAACGAAAGATATGTGTGTAGTACCCATTTGACTTAGATATTAGAGCATCGTAGCAGGTGAAACCAAGGTGAGACAAACACTGACATCGTCGTAGACATTGTGTGTAGCTAAATGTGTAATAGTGCAATAAGCTTAGAACCCTCCACTCCCATAAGTATCTATATACCAATTCCCATATATTTATCCATCCCCCATCCCAAATTTCAATCCAAAGTCTTATATACATATATATTTTGTAATGTTTTCCGTTTGTTTTTTCACGATTTTCGAAAGACACGAATGTATATAGGAAGACGTGTAAGGCCATATACAATGTTAGCACAGTGCGTTTCATGGCCATAAGATCGAAACATGATTGATCAGATTGTTTCTATAGCTTTGTAACGCACTGTATGTGTGTGGTCGAATCACAATGCGAAAATAGTAACAACATTTTACGGTAGTAAAAATTACAACAAATAATGCCACCATACCCCAACAAGAAAAAACTTTTGATAAAAAACAAAAAAAAAAAACAGTTTTAAAAGCTTATAAAAAATATTTATATACAAAGAAAAATGAGGAAAAAAAACAAAATAGAAAATAGGCAACAACAAAAACAAACAACAATTATTGATTTAAGCAAAACAAAAAACAAAGGAAAACCCCCTACACAAAAATCTGTAAAACTATAAAGAAAACAAAAAACAAACAACTAAATGTTATATTTTGGAGCATTTTTTTCAATGTGTATGTGTTAGAATATATATATATATGTATATGTATGTACATATATCTAGAGACAAGGACAAGAAACAGATGGAGGGCGAATTGATAAAAGTATTAGCAAAAGATATGTCCTGGAACAATAACGACGAGAAAGACAGCCACAAAACGAAAGAGAGGGAACCTTCCTTCAGAATTTGCTGTTTTTTGTATGTAGCGGCAATGAATATAAAACTATATATCATCCATCTATAGTATATATGTATATACATATATACACGAACTAGAGGGGGAAAAAAGAGAGATGGAAAGTAGCTGCGAGAGCGAGAAGCAAAAGTAATCAATATTTTGTAAATACCATTTTGAACAACAAAGATTTCATTTCAATTAAAAATACAAATAAAAATACAAAAACAAAAAGTGGGCAAAGAGTAACGAAAATATATTTCATTTTTTATACAGATTTTCCCACAAATGAAACGAAAATGAAAAGAAAAGGAAAATTATTTTCACAAAAGAGTTTTTACTTGCAATGCAAACAAAAAAAAAAAATCAAATAAAATCCAACCATAAAAGCTTAAAAAAATCGAAATCTAACAAACGTATGGAATATAGAAATATATATATATATATATATGTATGTGTGTGGATTGTCTGTGTAAATGTTTTTGAATGTTAACTGAAAAATGTTTTAGTTATTTTGTAAGCTGAAAGAGGAACTGCGCCACTGGATGTAGTTCTACGATATACGATTATATAGGCTCCTGTTTCTCACTTGATTTCTGTTACTAATTATAAATGCAATTGTAAAAAGAATAATAAAAAAGATCAGTTTCACCTTTTGAAGAATTAACCCTAAATTATAAATAGTTTTTTTTTTTAATTTATGGACTTTTTTCATTTAAAAATGGAAATCAGTTTTTGATAGTTTTTTTGTAAAATTTTTTTTTTTAAGTTTTATTGTTAAGTAGCCAAGTAATAATTGAAACCTAACAATTTTTTGTGTAATTCGTACTAACTAAAAAACTATACAAAAATACAAAAAACAAAAGCAGCAACAAAACGATTTCATTTTAGAATTTTTAAGCCTAACTTAATTAACTATTAATTTCCATTAAAATTCTTTCTTTAAGAGGAAAATAAAAATCATCGGGAGTATTGCAACTTATAATTACCCACAAACAAGAAAAAACACCAACAAAAGAGATAAAACAAGAAAAAAAATTATAAACAAATAAAAACAAAAACAAAACAAAACCAGAAGTAAACGAGAGAAAACCTTTTTAGCTGTAAATGTAACTTGTAAAATTAATTTTAAACAAATTGCATAAAAAAACAAAAACAAAATACAAAATGATTAAGGCATGAATCAACTGCAATGGATATAAAAACGTATATGTATATGAAGAATGGATCTATATATTATATATAAATGTAAATGTGTAAAGAAAACAGAAAATGCGAAAAAAAAAATAAAATAAAAAAAGATTTCAAAGCAAAAAAAAAAACGGAACTATTGTTTGACAAATTTGGGGAGTACATCCAAGACATGGAAGAACGAGAAATGAGAGGAAAAATAAGAAAAAATACTGGAGAGACTTTACAATGGAAGGCCAAGGAATGGCTCATCTTACAGTGCACTGTTACCTGAAATATAAAATCAAGAAATTGAAACTAAGTAGTGAACATAGACACTTGTAGATGAATTGGAAAATTATCTTATGCTAACTCCCAGCACTCTACAGAGGGAAGGAAGATTTATGTATGTTTGGGGGAACAACTATGCCCCCTGACAGGATTTGAGAAACCAGACCCACCAGTAGACTAGGAACTAATGTAAGTACTATTACGAACTGTCTACAACGAATATTTACTTACAAATATATTTCAGAAATCGTTGAAATGGTCAAAAGATGTCTGATGTTCCATAATCCAAAGCTATCTATGATTTCATCTATATGCTATCACATACTTCCATATAATTGATCTGATCTGATGGGTATTGTTTCAATTGTATTGTGATCTGGCTTACTTTTTCAACACCTGAAACACCTATCCAACGGAGGGATCCGCCAGATGCCCATGGTAATGCTTTGGAGTGTTCCATCGTTCCATTCATTACTATATGATATTTCTGTGAGTACTGTTATACAATGATTAATTGATTGAAAGTAAAACTAAGTTTTGATTGTTTTGTTGTTGTTTGGTTTTTATTTCTCATATTTTTCGGTTTATTTCTGAGTCAAGCTAAACGTACGCTCCTGCAATCGCCATTTTTAAATCTCGTAATAATAATTTATTTATATATTTATATATTCATATAAAAAAAATGCGTTTTGTTGCTGAATTTTATTTTGGTTTTACATACATATGTATGTATGCATGCGTGTTTGCGTATGAGCGAGTGTTTGTTTGTGAATGAGAAGGAGTGTGTTGTGGGAGGATATTAGCAACAAATTTTCACAAATTTGACCAAAAGAATAAAAGGTAGAAGTAGGTGTAGGTGCAGTGGTTGGGGAAGACAGATAAGAGGAAGGAAAATGCTTGATACAAAAGTTGAACCATCCCATCAATTGATTGCATATATAACTTATATATTTAATAATAATAATTATCATAATAATAATAGCTTAAACTTTACAATACAGAATGCAGTTTTACAAAAGTAAACAAGCAAATCAATTGGGAGAAATTGCCATATTTATATAGTTATATATATATATGTATATATATTGGATGTATTTCAGCGTTACAATACAAAAGAAAACAGGAAATAAACACTGTTCAAGGAAAATCTCTCAAGCTTGTCAAAAATATAATTAGTTTCTCTGGGGAGGTTTTCTTTTTTATATGTATATCTATTTCTATTTGTTGTTTGCTTTCCGTTTAGAAAATTACAAAAATTGCCTTAAAAAATTTGTTTCGTTTCATTTAGTTTTAATATTTAATAATGGGAAAGTTTTTATTTTTCCGTTTCTATTTTTTGTATAGCAATTTAGGGATGCCTTCTTTTAGGTTTAGGTATTTTGTTTAAACTATTCTTGTTTTTATTTTTTGTATATTTAAATATATATAGAAGTATTCATAAAAAGCTTTTCTGTAAGGTTTCTTGTTTGTTTTGTGTGTGTGTTTGCATTTCGCTATTTAAATTAAAAATTACAAAAAAAAAGGAGAAGATATTTATAGTGTTTAATGAATTGCATAATTGGTTTTTAGGTTTCTAAGATTGATTATATTTAATAAGTTTACGCTTTAGGCTTGTGTTTTCTCATTTCTAATTTAAAGGAGCAACAAAGACGAAACACAATTGTTCAAATTTAAGAAAACTTAACTAGAAGTTAAGTGACAAAGTTGTCGTGACGGCTGAATGTTGGGAAAATGATTTAGTTTGTTTGCCTACAAAATATATCGTTTATGTATATTACAATGCAGTTTGTTGCTTGGATTAAGTGTTTTGCGTTATTTTTTTTCTTTTTTCGTTTGGTGCGGAAAATAGTTTTTTTTTTATATTTTGTTTTTCGTGTGTTGTGTGTGTGTTCTCTAAGTTAATTTATTATTAACATAACGTTCTGCTCTTCTTGTTGAAGGTTTTATCCATGTGGCCGTTGTAGCTGTTGTTGTTGTTGTTGCAAGTTGTTTGCTGCTGCATTTGTTGTGGTTGTTGTTGTTGTTCATCATGTGGTAGTTGTTGTTTTGTTGGTTGTTTCATCTTACAGCAATTGGCAGCAATGAGAATTGGGCTTCGGCGGCTGTTTCACGTCCGTCTGACGTTGTTTTTTACGTGATGAAATATCCCTGATTAGATCATAAAATACCTACATCGAAGGAATATATACAAAAAAATACATTAATATCATTTAATTCATTTTGTAGGTGATTTTGTGGGGTTACAATTTCTGCTCTATAGTTACAGAATTTTTTTGAAAAGTTTACTAAACAAAAAATTTAGAGAGAGAGAACCGAAAGCAATTTTTACAGCAGTAAGAACAGAACAAGGGGAACAGAGAAAAAGTTGGAATCTGTGGATGCCTTTTTCCACTGTCCGTAGGTAGGTAGGTACAGTGTGTTTCATAAGTGTAAAACACATTGTACACACCAGAAAACCAGAAAATAAAGAAGAAAACGAAAGTTCATCAAAGAAGAAAACCAAGAAACCGAATATAATTAAATCTAAATCAATTTCAGGCACAAAATTAAAATATAATAAAAAAATAAAGTGTATAAATTTGTTCTTTTTTTGAAAAGTGTTTTTGCATAGGTATGCATGTGTGTCGGTGTATGTACATGTGTGTGTGTGTGTGTGGATGTGTGTTAGATCTTATACAAATCTTAGATCCTATAAGCTCTGACAAAGAAGAAAACAAACGTCTGACCATGAAATATATATGTTAGAACCTGCTCGAATTATCAAGAAATGCGCTCAAGGCCATGTTGGAAATAGAAGAACAAAAATAAAGTTGTAGGCTCCAGTATTTATATCCCCAACCCATTACCCATTTTCCATGTAAATATTATGTAAATAGTGCTTCAAAATGTCCAACAGTAGCAAAGCTTTCTGGCCAAACAAAATTCAGTGTTGAAAAACGAGCTTTTATGGTAACAGTTAGTTGTGTAGTGTGGTAGTGGTAGTAGTAGTAGTGTTGGCAAACCAAATATCATAATTAAATGAAAAGTAAAGTAAGAGAAATATATTGCACAAATTATGAAAAAAAAATACCCATCAAAAGCAACGGGGGGAGGGGGATTAAGTGTTAGTAAAAATATAGAAGAGTGCTTAAAACCAAAAGCAAACAGCAAACAAGCTTAATTTGGGAAGGATTCAAGCTAAGAGTTAACCAAAAAAAAACTATGAGAGGGGGTGTATTACAACTCTAGGGAATATTGTATTATATATTGGATTAATTATTATATGTTGTACTGTATTTGGATTTTTTGGGTATTTGCTTTTGTATAAATTTTCGGAAAGTATTGGAAATTGTTGGTTGTATGCACCTAATGCCTAAAGTAGGGTACACTTAAGTCTCCGCTTCTTGCATCTATCTTTAGCACGCCCGCTCGTGGCTTTCGAATCTTCGGTTTTTCGTGACCTTATCTCGCGCATCAAATCAAAAAATACCTGCAATTGTGGATTTAATTGGGAATTAAGTCATATACAGAATCAGAGTCAGTGAATTAGCATCATCAGTAATCAGATTTACAATTCGTATTCAAACTTATATTTTATACAAAAAAAAAAAAAAAAAAACAGAAAGAAAAAACAACACCAATACACAAACACACACGCACATCATATCTACGGCTGGTGTGAGTGTGCAACAGAGAGAGAGAGAGAGAGAGAGATCGAAATGCATTTGGATTAATTTTTGTTTTTCTTCTCGAGTTCATTAAGGAAATAAAAATATAAAAATCAAAAATTAAAATTAAGGCGGCAACAACATTGAAAGCTTGGCAGCAAACACAAAAGCTAAACTATTTGGTGTTCCTTTGGGCAAAGCATTATCTGTATCTGTGTGTTGTGTATTGCTGTGTGTGTGTGCATAGTGTGTGTGTGTGAAAAGAGATCGTTGCCGAAATGGAAGGAAGAATCGCGGCACGCGTATCGGAACCCCGTTAATGACCAGTATTGTTTCTATATTTTATCTTAACTTATAATATATTTATGTAATACTTAACGAATGATAATACTTAAGTCTGTAGCTTCCATGGGCATATTTTGGAACTGCATTTCCTATCAGACCTCCTCAATTTGAGCTGCTATCAAAACGCCCCCATACCCAAACCCCACGCCACTACAAATAGTACGAATGTTTTACTATCACTCTCAAAATGCTTGGAAATTCAGCCTTGAATGAAGTGCATAGAGGCCCCATAAAGATAGATTATATTTTTGGGCAGAGGGGGAGTGCACGAAACAGTAAAAGTTAGAACTTGAATGAATCACATTTCCTATTTAATATAATCTATCTTGATATGGGGCCATAAAATAAGCCAAACTTGGGGAACTTAACGAAAGAAGGAAGCGTATATCTTTGTCCATGGGTTGTGTTGGATTTTACATTTAAAATAATCTCGAATTGTTCTCCAAGAAAGTTCTGCCGATTGTCATGCGATCGTGTCGCATCGCATACTCTAAACCCAAAGATAAGACTTAAATGATTGTGTACACTATTTACTTATACCTAATGATACGTAAAGTGTGCATTTCCCTTGTTCAACTAATTGATTTTCATGTGTGTGTGTGTGTGTGTGTTGTATGGGACAATCTGTCAACTTGATTTGTAGGTTTCTACGGCAGAAACTTAAAGTGTTTGGTTTCGTTGAATATCAAAGAAAAACTTAAATTAAATCTGAAATTAGATATGCCTGGAGTATGTACTTCCGTTTAGTATTTAGATGGGCATTTGTGGTGCCCAAAAAAGAGATCATAATCTTTAAAGAACTAGTTGCTTTTGGCTGGAATTAAATCAGGTATTTCAGGGCCTGTGGATAAAGGACAAGAAGACTTAAACATGGTCGCACTTCCACACTTCATGGAGCCACCCTTTGATCATCGAAGTAGTAAGAGAGCTTGAAGATCAAAGGACACACTGCCAATAATCAATAATCCAAATCTGTTGTCGATTGCCCTTCATTCGAATAACAATAACATTGCAAGTTTCAGTAGAACCCTGGGATCTATACGCTCAGCGACGCTGTGAGAGAGCAGCTAATATTTCGCTGGCATTTCAATTGGGTCCTTTGCGTAAATTTAAATGAATTAATTATTATTTGAATTAATTATTATATTGATTAATTATTATATTAATTAATTAATTAATTAAAATAGACTAGGGGTAAAAACCAAAACACAATACCGAAAATAATGTGTTCAAAAATACTTAGAACTTAAATTAACTTAAAAAAACACTTTTGCTCTCGTTGTACATATTTTGTGGCTAGCCAATTAATTGCGAAAGAGTATTCGTAATTGTGTGTGTGTGTGTGTCTGTGTGACCCTAAGGTGTGTTTGGTTTCCACTGGCGATGGCAATGGCGAGTGCAACAGTGTATCTGGATCTGGATAGCCTGTGGGCTCCATCTGATGGTGGCATTGCCCTCACCTTGTCAACATTCTCGCGCGTCTTGGCCGAGGTCTCCACGTAGGGCACCGCCCACTGTTGGGCCCTCAATTGGCACTCGCTCAGCGGCACCTTTCGCTTGTCATTCAAATCGCATTTGTTGCCCACCAGCAGGAACGGTATGCTCTCGTCATTCTTCACCCGCAATATCTGTTCTCTGCAAAAGAGTTAAAAACGAGAGACAGCAAGAAAGAGAGCCATTAGTTATATGTGTACGTTAATGGGAATGTATATATACAGTGTATATACATATATGTAGATATAGATAGGCTTATCGTGGGGCCCAATGGCAATTTATTTTGCAGGTGAGTCAGTGCGTGGCGTGGCGTGTGTGTCACTTCACTTCGCTACGCGACAGACACGACACACGCACCCACCCATCCACATAATTGTAGAGCTGTATGTACGTATCCCCCATGAGTAACTTATTTGTATAGAGGCATAAATATTTGCAGCCGGTCAACCCCTGTGTGTCGCACCCCCTATTACTTAGCTATACAATTCTCACAATATTTCTGCTGCCTACTGGTTTCTGTGTATTTGCAACTGAATGTTTGTGAAAGAACTCAATTAGGTCAAATGGGAATGGAAATGGAAACGGCAATGTCTGAGCAGAGCTAAAGGTGCATTAAAAGGGTTGCTCGATGGTCTCATGGCAAGTGTTTCAATTGGGTATTGAGTGGTGGGCTGACACTTTCGCGAGGTATAGTATATTTTCCAAGGAACAACGTGAAATTAAAGTTTTATTTAGGCAGAGCACTACACAAAGTGTTCTCTAGGAAGAGAGGCACTTTCCAATCATAATGGGTAAACTCTGGGCACAGGCTTTCAATCTTCTTTCAACGCTTTCGATTACTTTAATTTCTTTGATAACATTGATTAAATAAATCACAAGTAAAAGCGTTACCAGCGCCCAAAGACATTAATTATAATCTGTGAAATATGCATCTCAAAAACCAGAATGAAATTTAATACGACGGCAGACACGACACATCTTTAAGATATTCATTCGTGCCTCCAAGCTACCCGCCCAGCCCCAGGCGCAGCCCCACCCCACTCCGAATGGTGTACTCGTATGAATAAAGATGCATTACACATGCTAACCCCCCGCCCCACCCCCCACGTGTCAGAGCAGAAACTCAGGTGCTTGTGTGACTAATTAGCAGCAATACAGAAAAAAAAAAAAAAAGGAATGTTGAGATTGCTGTGTGTGAAAAAGAAAACCCGCTAGCGACGACACTTGGATGTCATCTCTTTCGCTCTCGCTCTCCGTCTCTGTCTCTCTCTTGACACACTCACCTGAATTCCTGGGTTGCCTGGAAGCTCTCATCGTCTGTGATTGAGAAGACACAGAGGAAACCCTCGCCGCTGCGAAAATAATTATCTCTGATGGCTGCATAGTCCTCCTGACCAGCCGTATCCAGTATATCTATTTGTACTTCCTCACCATCCAGCACAACCTAAACAGCACATAGAGCATATAGAGTATATATATATATATATATATATAGAGCAGATCTGTGGCGTTTTGGGTGTTACCTTTTTCCTATAACTATCGGCCTTGGTGGGCTCATAGTCCTCAACGAATTCATCGTACATAAACTGCAGTGTGAGGGCCGATTTGCCAACGCCGCCGCTACCCACCATAATGACCTTGTGGAGCGCCGGTCCAACTGTTGGCTTCTTGCTCATAATGGCGGGATATACTGGCTCTCTCTCTCTCTCACTCACTCACACACAATCACGTTCCTGCTGCAAAAGAACAAATAAACAATTTGCGGATTAGTCAAGGGTATTTTTTTTTACGCCCACTTACATTCAAACGTTTCAAATGTTTCTTTCTTTGACTCAAACAAATATACAAATTCGTAACTTGAAAATATGAAAACAAACACAAACACAAAAATATATTCTATACTCGATAGCATACATGGATCTATAGCAAAGATCTAATGTCAACAAATTTTATTTACATTCGTGGCTCATATGGGGTTCAATTTGCTGTGCATTTAGCCGTTTGGCAATCGCAGGGCTCTTTCATGGAAATACCTCAAAAATATTCACCTGGCTAGAAGGGCTCTTAGCTATAGCTTTGATTCCTAAGCCACGCCACAGCCTTTTCCCTAACTATTTTGGCTTCAGACACTTACAATCGTTGCACCATGAAATTTTTGTTTGTTTTTGGGGCATAAAGCCAGATGGAGGCCTACTTTGGGTTGGGTTTGCATGGCACTAAAGAGACCAAGGAGTGCTCGGTCTGCGTTATATTCGAAGGAGCATTCGAAGGGCAGGAATTCCCCCGCTTAGGCAGCAGCCACTTTTCGAGTTATAGAACCCACAGATGAGGCATGTAGACCCATATGCAATCTGTTGCTTCTGTCTCTCACAATTCTCCTCTTCGCTAAATGTGTGCCCCCTCCCCGCCCCCCATTTTGTTGTGTGTCTGTTAACCTTTTGCTACTGTGTCGTACGAATCTCTTTACATTGTGCTCTTTGGCTTACAGCATATGGACTTTGCTTTGTAGTTTTCTTTCTTGGCTTTGGCTTATGTAAGAAAGTAGCCATCAACTCGCCTGCCAATTGATGGTTTTTTTGTTGTATTTTTTTTTATCACTTTTACTCGCACTTAGTATACCCTAACAAGAGGGCAACATTGGCATATTTAATATAAAATGTCTGAAAATTTTAAAGATTTAAAAGAAGCAAAATTTAGATATTAACAACTAAAAAGCCAACCAAAGGATCGCCAGCAAAGGAGCAACCTGCCTCATCTATGCTTTGGGGTTTGTCCTTGCCTGGTGTCTTTTCCAGGGTATGCTTTGGTTCGGTTTTTGCCTCAGCACTCAACAGCTGCCGGACCCATCTATGGCATGTTGTTTCTTGTTTTCTTTTGTTGCCATTTGTTCGGTTCGGTTAGCAAATGAAGCATAAAATGAAAAGTTCAATGAACTACATTTACACATGCCAAACGGCACGGGCCGCGGGCCACGGGCCACGGGGGCAAACAGGAAGGCAATGCACTGCAGTGCAGACCAGGCCAAAATTGCACACCAAACACCACACCACACCAGACCACACTCTGCAATGCATTGGTTACCCTTTTGTGGAACCGAGCAGGAAACTTTCATCGATTTTGCATTTCTTTTATGGTTGCAGAGAGACAGCCAGGAAGGGTATCAAAAGTATCGGTGTATGTACATTGAAATGTGTACCTTTCATTGTGTATTGACGCGTTTGTTTGTTGCCGTTTGCAATTAGCCTTTTGTGCCCCCCCAACACAACAATAGATCGTCTCTCCAGCAGCAACAGCAGAGCACTCTGCCACCGCTGCCACATGCCAACGGGCCTGCCATTGTCTGCGTCATCGATTGAGCCATAAATTGGTTGGCAGTCGCAAAAACTACGCATTGAAGGAACATTTTATGGAACCCCAAAAAGAGAGAACCAAAGGCCAGAGAACAGATCAAAGCCAATAAGTTGGCCAATTGGCTTTTGGCCAAATGTACCGCACAGTTCAAGAGTTCAAAATATGTCACAGAAATAATAATAATAATAATATCGTAAATCATTCACACACACATAACGCGCCATGGCAAAATGGGAGCAATGCGAGATTCAACCACAGCCTCAGCCTTCGTGTTGTCGCAATGTGGAAGAATATCAATTACGGCAATCGAATGGCACAGGTACAGCTGTGTGTCCAACCGCATTAACCAACACTACCAGCGAAATAGAACCCAAATGTCACACGAATGTAGCTGATGATGAAGGCCAACTAAGGGAAAGGTTATAGCTCTACTGCATCATCTATTCTTCAGTTGGATGTGTAGCTGTGGCGTACATTTGGTACATCCAATCGGTTTAAACACCACTGGCAGATCAGTTAATCAGTTAAGCCATATCTTTCCCCTCCTTTAAATCCTCAAAGAGTAGACAAAACTTTTACTACTTTCCATTCGTTTAGCCAATCTCCTGGAGTGAGTGGCTCAGCAACAAGTAGCTGAGAGAGTATGAGTAATCGGCGCAAGAGCTGGGCATGTCAATCAATTCGTTGCCAGACCCGAGACGCCATACAGTAAACAACAACGATACGGATTCGGATACGATAAAACGTATGTGTTCCCACGCCCAAGTTTTCCAGGCAGGCAGGCAGGCAGGCAGGCAGGCAGCAAATTGAATTCACAATTCCACACAAGAAGGAAAAACTTAAAACAAAACAGGAAAAACAGCAACAACAACAACGAAACAACAAACGTGTTCCAATTGCAAAATGTTACTCATACGCAACGGTGTAGAAAAACTGGTGAGAAAGCTTTAAAGCTATAGAGAGAGGGAGAGACAGACACAGCCTATGAGAGGATACCCTACACCTAAGCTATAATATAACTATAGCATACCATTATTAATTAGATGCATCTCTTCCCTGTAGGATTCCCTTAAATATCGCTAGCTAGCATTAGTAATGTACGAAAGCCAGTTGTTCAAACAGCCAAATTAACTTATTTTCAGCATTTCTGTCTATAATAATGATTCGATCTCAATTTTTTTCAAGCTTTAGATATATATGATTATGCTTTATGATTCTGCATTTCCCTTTTCTATCTTGGTACAGTTTTTAATAAGCTTAAAAAATGTATTCTTTATCGTTCGCTTCGGGGTAATTTGTACAGCGAATCAATGTAATTTTCATCGCATTCGAATGTGTGTTCCTAGTGGAAAACGCCACAGCAAGTTAGTGGCAAAAACTGTGCTAAACAAGTACAAGTATTATGTATTTATGTACAAATACGAGTATTTATGTACAAATACGAGTATTTATGTACAATTTAAATGCTATTTTTTTCGAGGAGATTGCCGTAATCCATGCCGTTGAACAAGATACGACTTGGCGTACTGGTTATGAGAAACGAACAGTCGGAGACGGAGCTAAACCAAATTATCTGACAGCCAATAATTACATTGTTTTTTTTTTTGCTTAAAATATTCATTTGGGTTTTATCAACTCATTGTATTATTTTCGTTGTGTGCTTCGTTCCATTATATCTGTGTATATTCTGGCATTGTGGTTCGTGCTTCTTTCTGACTTCTGCCATTAGTTTCGATTGAATTCTAGCTGCTGTTGTTCTGCCGAATACTGAATTTTGCTGATTAGATTATTATTTAGCCATTCCATATTTCTTATGGGCCAAGGTTAGGCAATATTTTCGCATACACAAAAACCACAATCGTAAAAAGATTTTAATTGTTATAATAAAAAAGAAGAAAATACAAGCAAAACAAAACAAACAAAAAAAAGACAGCAGTCTGGAAAATGAAAGAAAAACTAAACTACACAGCAAAACAAAAAAAAGTACAAAGCGAAAGAGGAGATTTCTGTCTATCCGTCTATCGGTCGGTCTGTGATGTTTGTGTGTGTGTATTCCATATACAAATCGAAAACCGAAATTGAAATCGTTATAAACAAATGAACGAAACGAAACGAGAATTTCGAGTAAAGGAAAATTCGTTTTGTTACCGTTCCAAAAACCTCAAAACAATGCAGCCACCAGGGAAAACACACACCACGCTTCCTATTCATATGGCGAATGACGTAAGCCAAACAAAAGGAAAATTCGTTTCTTAATTTTGCAGTTGGAGCAAACATTTATAAACTAAACGAAACTTATGTTTTCAGCACAGGCGTAAATACTCGTAGCAGTAAATACTCGTAGATCAATTAATTGTTTCGCCATATCAATCCGTTTTCATTTAAAGTTGGGGAACTTTAAATTATTACCACAACTATAATTATTACCATTACCATTTAATACCAATTAATCACATTCTAAATAATCATTCTTAAAGTTTTTCCTTCCATTAACTTCATCGTTTTACCATTCTTTGGCTTTGATTCACTGCACAAAGTTGCCATAAGCAAGCGGCCACATTCGCGAGTGAATCCACGATATTTATGCAAGAAAAATCCAAATGAAAGATATTCAAAATATTATATGGAATAAATCCAACTAACCAATTCGCTGTAGTACGATTTTTGAAAGCAGGCATTTCGAATGTTCCACCAATGGAAATACTGTACTTTCATTCCAAAATTCTTTCTTGGGAGCAGCATAATAATTTTTAATCTTAATCTTGCAATACTCGAACGAAAAATTATAGCTCTTAAATTTTTCACACACACACACACACAAACGGGGGGATTTCTTTTGGGTGGAGGTGGCTAATAATTTAGTATGAATGAATCCAAAAGCGAAATAATCATTTCAAGCATATTTATTTGCTCTCAATTGATTTTTAACAGAACTCACTCTCACTCTCCCTCTCTCTCTCTGTCTACCTCTCGCTGCGATCGATACAAAGATTAGCCATAGAATTGTACATGTTTTTCGCAATTGAAGGCAATTTCCTTGGCGTTTACTTAATTCTATTTTGTTTGGGATATTTTTAAAAATCTCCAAGACTCCACATTAGGCTCGGGGGAGGGGGGGGGGGGCCTACAGCCTCCGTCCGGTTTGTATTTATTACTCATTCGCATGGGGGGTCTTGGGGGTGCAATTGTATTCCCATTTTCCCCATTCGATTTCTCCATTTGATTTCCATTTGAGTTTTCCCACCACACACGAGTATGTGTATGTGTATATATTTTGTTGGTGGTTGTTGCAAATGACGTCATTGTGTCTGCGTTTAGTTTTTGTTTTGTTTTGTTTTGTTTGTTGGTTCCTTTGGCCTAGCATGCCAAAGCTGCCTTTTTTCAT